GGTGGCGGCGGCGGCGGGGGCGGCGGCGGCGGCGGCGGCGGCGGCGGCGGCCGTGGTGGTGGTGGTGGTGCTGCCGCCAGGCTTCCGGCGTCTCCTTGCCATCCTTCCTCTCTCGACCATTGCACAGCAACCGCTGCCTCAGACCCGCTCTTTGAAGTCCAGATGCAAGGCACACGGGACTTGGCCTGAAGATATTCAAAAAGAGGAACCCCGCCCGCTATAGGGACCCGTTTTTCAATGAATTTGGGGAACTCTCCCATGACCTGCAGTTTTTAGGCCGCTGCATCGCACCTGGAGCCTGCTCTGACTTCGAGCACTCCACGCAAGTTCTGTTCCCGGAATGTACCATTGCACGTAAGCGGAACCGAAAGATCTTCGGTCCGACTTCGAACAAATTAAAAGACAGGCGGCGCAAAAGGCCTTGGGGTGACAAGACACTGCGAAGCAGACCAGAAAAGCAGACCAGCTGATATAGGTAGTTCCCAAAAGTAGGGTCCCATTTTGGTAGCCCTAAATATTAGGGGCCGTAATATAATCCATAACCCAAAGGGGCCCATAATTTTGAGAACAACCTATATCAGCCGACCTATTTTCAGCTGAAAGGCCCAGAAAACTATTTACAGTCATGGCCCCATGTCTGAGTCCCGTTTCAGGACCTCCGAGGAGCACTTAATCAGGTCACAAACAATGTCCACGCCAAACGCAGTGGACCAGCCATCACATTGGCAGCCCAAATCTAGAGAAAGCATTGGCCCTTTTGCCACCTTGTCAGCCCCGCATGTGATAGGCTAATCCCCATGTACATCTGTCATCCAGCATATCATGGATCCCTTGCATTTTAATGTAGACTCATGATGAATAAACCCTTCCCCTTGAAGGGCCTTAATTTTCGGATCCCTATTATATCCTGTTAAGGGGAAGGCTGTTTAATCAGGGGTCTGGGCTAGCCCCAACGCCAAATGGCTGCCCAAGGAAAAAGCTTGTTCTACCCTTGCCGACCCTGCCGGCCCTGGCAGTCCGAGTCCGTCTGGACAAGGACACCCAGCTGAAGATCCTGGGTTGCGGTTCAGGAACTTAATTTGAGTCACCATAATGGGGATGTAAAGTAGAAAATAAAGTTTCCCCAATATGGTACTTAAAAGAAATTCCTCAACAGCAACCCAGGATCGGGTCAATCTTCTCTTGTGGCAGCATGCTCGCCCAGGACTTTCTGCACCATGAAAGATACCGTACCCTCAGGCCGCCAAGACACTCGCAGAAAGGCTTCACCTTGGTAGCCACAATCCAGGGTTTAGGGTTTCGGGTTTCGGGTTTAGGGTTCAGGGTTTGGGGTTTAGGGTTCAGGGTTTAGGGTTGTAGCAACCCTCGCAGGATCTCTGCACCCATCCTACCTACCCTCATCCGGAACCCTTCATCTCACGATTTGAGCTACAGTCTAAACTCCTAGTATCCCCCATAGTAACCCCTACAATGCTCCCCTCTATGCTCCCCTATTCCAACTCCCTTCAGGAGTTCAGACCCTAAACCCCAAACCTTAGATAATCCCCTATATAACCCCCTGTGAGGAGTTTAGACTATAGTTGAGTAGTGTTTTTTGTTGGTTGAATGTAGTAAGATAGTCTTCCTTATATATGATACTATACCCCAAAAGGAGGATATAATCTTACTCTGTATCGGGTACCATAGTATCCCCAAATAAAACACTACTCATTTGGATGAAGATAATAACAGCAGGCCATGGCACCACATTGCTCAAAACCCGGTCCAGGCAACAGCCTCAGCCAGTGCCCAATGAGGCTTAGGGTTAGGGTTTAGCGTTAAGGGTTTAGGGTTTGGCAATTACCAAGCAAATCCAGGGTCGTGTGGCGCATGGGTGGTACGGGGGCTATAGTCTCAACTCTGGACGTGCCCTTAATTAGCCCTAGAAAACTCCCCTATATAATCCCCTACATACCTTTCTGGAGTTTGAATCAGGCTCCCGTGCTGCTGCGGTGCTTGTGACTGACGACCAGTGCTCCTGGACGCATCTTTCGTGCTTGTGCTGCCACAGCCTCGGGATGAGGCGCAAGGTATGCCACAGCAGTGCAAAAGCTACATGAGCTAGAGTCTAAACTCCTTACCAGGGGGGTATGAAGGGGACTTTTGTAGGGGCTATTATAAACGGAATAATAGGGGTTTAGACTCTGGCTCACATAAACCACTTCTAAGCTTCCTCCATCATGTCGGGGCTGAAGACCACCGAGTTGGCCCAAACAAGATCCTGCACATAAGATATAGTCTAAACTCTTTAAAAGGGGTTATATAGGTGATTATATAGGGGAGTATTCTAGGAGTTACTAAGGGGGATACTAGGAGTTTAGACTATGGCTCAGATCTTTCCCCGTGCTGGTCGACACCGATTGCTCACAGCGCACTCAAAAGTCACTACAGCTGAAGACCTGCGCCAAAACCGCCTTCTCAGACTTGAACGAAACGTGTGCTCTTGGAATATGTCTCTCGAGAATGCGAAGCCTTCCAACAAAGAAAAGTTTGATGCATTGCCATCTTAATATTACTTTTTAGTATTACTACTATTGCTGTATTACTATTATTAGTACTATTACTAGTATTACTAATTATTACTGTACTATTAGTACTATTTTTCCTACTGTTTCCATTATTCTTTTTACTACTATTTTACCATTGATACAATTCTTACTATCACTACTACTACTAGAGACCAGCAGACCGGTCCGCATCTGAGAAGTCAAAGTCCAGAAAGCTGGCCAAGACGAAACGCGGCCGCAAAGGCTGAACGCCTGGCTTCCAAGGCTCATTATGTGGGAATTTAGGGTTTAGGGGGTTGAGGGGGAATATAAAAACTACCTGGGCGCCTTTTTAAGGGTATATAGGAAAGGGGCTACATAGGGATGCACACACTTCTGTGTGGGTATGTGGGCATCCTCCCGTCTCTTGCCCATACTCCCTGCTTCACATGTTACATGGCTTTAAAAAGGGGGAGAGGGGAGGAGTTCAAGGGGAAGTTGCCTCTTACTCCTATGCTTTACGCACAGCATCAGGGATCAATCCTCAAAGGACCCCAGGCGAGTTACCTGCACCACGGACCATGCAAGCGCGACGCACGTGCAAAGCCAAGCTCGCTTGCTTCGCACATGTTGAACCACTGGGTTGCTGTTAAAGACCTTAGATTAAATTACAAATAATGGATGTATATAGTAATTCATATGGTTCCCCCGTTGTAGTAACTTACATTACATTCGGTCTGACAAAGGAGCTGTTGAACAGCTTTTCAGTCTTTGTTGCAGAAGCGTAGCTCAGCATGCAGAACCGTCTCTGGACGAAACAGCATGCTGCGATTGTTAAGGATAACTTGCTTTTTGATAGTCGTCATAATGCTAAAACTAACAGGACTACGAGTGGTCATAGCATGAACAATAGTAGCAGTAGTCTGCCGTAGTCGTATGAATCATAATTGAAGCTGGCCAGCAGGGCCTTCCACTTCGATATCTTCCTGCAGCAGCCACTTGTGATCACGCCTTGATAACAACCTGTACAGCTTCAATGATTGTCATTCATATGACTAGTAGTACTATTGGCAATACTAGTACTACTAGCATTACTATTGCTATGACTATGACTAGTGGTCTAAAGACAAGTTATTCACAAAAAAAAAAAAAGCACATGCGCAGATGCGAGGCCTGAACGCGCAGCATGGCCTTTGCCGCTATGCCTGTTCAGGGTTCAAACAAACCCTGCGCTCGCTTGCAACAAAATCGGTTACTCCGCCAATGCATTGTTCGTATGAACTAATGACTCCTCTTCCTAATTACTCACAACATGGCATGTCAAATGACCAGCCCAGGCAAGCGTCACGCTCTCTGGTGTCGCCCGGGTTCCAGCTCGACTCCCGTTGCTTGAAAGCCCATTAATGCAGCCAGATTCACCTGAGCGGTTCTGTTCACTTCGGGCAGGTGGCAAACGTATTTTTATGATGACGATTATTCTTATTGTTACTTGTTATTGTTGTTACTTATTGTTATGTCTGTGCGGCAACTTGCAGGTGGCATTGACGGCCCAGCATGCACTGCACCGCAAATCAAACCCAGGGCCCACACAAGCTTGCCGGTGCCACTTCCCAAATCCTCAGCGAACCAAGCGGCAGATCTATGGGGAGAGGCACCGTTTTCATTTTTGCATAGGTGTTCGGTGCTGTTCTGGAGCTTCAGGTTATTCTAGGGGGGTAATACAGGGGCTGATATAGGGATTGTATGGCAAAGGCGGTAGCATTATCACTCCTTTTTGATCAGAATCTACCAATCTGGATCTCATGTTGCTACGCTGCGGCACGCGCCTAAGCCTGTGCCACCCAGATTTGTCTCAGCAGCAAGACTGTCGGACTTTAACCTAATTTCACTATGAGACGACCAGGTCTCCCCATACACTTCCAAAAAACCAGGAACCCCCGAATGGGGACATTTCATGCCTGGCTGCATACACACGCGCGGGTGGCTGCAGGTACTTGCGAAGCAAGTCCCCAAAGTCCTGTTCGCTGACCTCACCTTCAGCTGATGCTTGGCATGTTACCGGCTGAACTCCGAGAATGGCCGCTTGCAGCAATAGCCTGTTAATTGGCGGCGGATGGTGGCGGCATCAGCGGCTGTGGTGGTGCGGGCTAGTGGGGGTAGGAGGCTTGTCGGGGGCCCGAGAGGGTGGCAGCGGTGGCAACACTCGCTTTGGAGGTCGTCATCATTGTCGGTAGCAGCAGTTGAATTTCTGGCAGTAGCAGTAACAGGAGTAGCACCGTCCGCATCTATTCACGTGAGGCGCCGTCAAAAGTTCTTGTCTGGCCATGGTCAAAATATCTGATACTCGTTCTGCAATTGGTTCCACCTCACCTTTAACTACATACTCCAGAGCATGTTTGGGAGGACAAAATTGTTCCACTACGCTACTAGGCTTGCACATGAAGGAATGACCCCCTTTACCACTTGAAGCATTCTAAACACCTTCCCGAAAATCCATTCTAAAATGCGAGGCCAAATCATGAGGGCGCTACACACCCTTTGTACCTCTTATAACCGTGTGACTGCCAAGTAGCCATAGAGAGCTGAGTTTGTGAATCCGTTTGCATTTTCCACCGAAAGGTATCCTCAGATCGCAGCGAAGCAGAACGCTGGCAGAGCAGTACTCGCATTGCTCGCAGTGCACCATGCAGTCAGCAAAGCGGGTTGTACCTTTCAGAGCCAGTACTTCACCTTAAACCCTAAACCCTAAGCTCCTGACCCTCCCAATCTGCTGCATCATCGCCGAAGCCAGTCCCAGCGTATGCACGCGAGAGCATTCTGACCATGACCTTGATCAGTTTTGTCAGATTGAATAAAGCATACAACAATGCGTTGTATTCCTACTTATTTGTTTCGCAACCTTATTCTACTGATTACTATCGCAATAAGTAGTATTAGGGCGCAGCAATGCAGCTGCAAAAGTTAGATATATATATATATGCAACCCCCCCCCTAAAGATCCACCTTTTAA